CTACGTATCTATCTACCTCAGCTAGCTAACCAACCAACTATCTATCTAGGTACCCACCGAGTAATGAGTAACGAAACCAAAAGAAGAATCAAAAAAGCCAACACCAAAACAAGAAATCAGAGCTCGAGCTAGAAAGCTCAAAGTAAAAGAGAGATACCTATCTCACGATCAAGATATAGCGAGGAAATGTATGTTGTACTATCATGTTACTTGCGTGGGACATGGATATGATATTAGGGCAGTTGTTCATATTTCACGATTTTCCCAGTACTGGGCAGGAGATGAAGTGGAGGGTCTTCTCAAGTTCCCAAGCTGCGGTTGGGAAAATTGGAGGGCTTTGTATCTTTGAATGTGGAGAGGTGGAAAGGTGGAAAAGATTTGATTCAATATAGTTCATAATTGCATGTGGACATGGTTATCGCTAAGGTGCACGAAGGTCATGGTAGTATATCTCGATTTTCTGAAGATGTATCTAGCTAACACCGTTGATCCCTGATGAAACCTACCTACCTGTGTATAGCAACCCTCAGAGCTCACTTATACAAACTCTCCTAGCAACAGGAGAAACTACGCGGCAACACATCAACCCCGATAGCCAGAAACAGAAAAGTGTGTTACACAAAATCCCTTCTTGTCCTACCATCAACCACGCTGCGAAGCGCACCGTACAGCCATTTGCCGACCATCCCAAGCCTCTTTATTTCCCGGGAGTTCTCCTACTTTCTGACGTTGCAGCAAAGGGTGTCTGGCTTACTTATCGAAGCCACATTCCGAAGGTATTTGCCCAATACGATACGTGATATGTATTTGAAAATCGGCATTTGAGCGTTGTTGTATCGGCTAACTTGGATTTCTATCACTGTGAGAGGTATAGAATGTCTTCCCATGTCATGGAAAGCCATTGATATTATCCGCGCCTTTCTTGTCCATTCTTATCCTTGGTTCCGTTGATGTGAAAAAAGCAATCAGTTGGGTTTCCATGATTTGTCATGTTGGCTATCTACTTCCAGCTTCTCATTTGCCCAAGGTTGTACCGGATCATTTCCAGTTTTCCCCTAGCTGGAACCGCTCACAGAGGAACATGTGTGAATCATTTAAAGAGTAATAAGAAGGTAGACAACTACGCGCTTGAAAGTAATAATCTTCTCAATATCATGCTTGGTAGATCAGAATTGAAGGTTTCTGCAGGAATCAAGATCGACGCTTGAAATGGGAACTCCCCAAGGTATCTTCTCTACAACTCTGATCAGGTAGTTGTTTACACTGACCAGGAAACAAGTTTGATGGGTACAATCGTCGATGGAAAGAAATTGAGGCACGCGTCACCAAGTGATCAGGTAACACAAAACTTACAAGGCCATAGTGGCAGCTAACAGATGTGCCAATCCTTGCCAAGTCACTTTCTTGCATGAATCCCTTCTGGTGCAAGAAACTTTTCATGAACGATCAGTATTAAAAGTTAGCCGCGCTTTCCAATAACGAATATCCGCCAAAAAATGATGTTGCAATGTTAATCATGCAACTTCCACCGTGTAGAAAGGGGTGCGCTTGGTGTATGCGAACATCCGCACAAGGGATCCTGGTCAGTCTGTAAAAGCTACCACACGTGGAATGTTTGTCCTTTTGCCACGTGAAGTTAATAAGTCCTTAGACCATTGACCACTCTCCGAACCAAACATATCTTTAATGAAAATGGCAATGTGGCTTCGAGTCCGATGGCAAAACTAAGCAACTAGCCTATGTTTGCGAATACGACAGATGATATGATGGATATAAGTCCCTCAGTGAATGGAGAACCAAGAGTCTGTACCAATCCTTGCAAAGTGACGGTGCGATGCAGCTCCATCATAGTTCTTTTTTTAGCTAAGGTAAATGATTGTTGATCTTTGGCTGGCATCCATCGTCTTGTGCACATGAAATATTGGGGAATGAAGATATTGGCCAGAATTGACTTGTCAAAATGCAAGTATCTAGTGTGTAAAGGGTTCTGCATAACATGGCAGGAAAGGTTCCTGTGCAGGTAGACTTTAAAAAGTGGAACTGAAAGTCCTTGTGTAACAAGCCACCAGCTTATGCCGACTAGCACTTTTGCAGTCTTTTGTCTTTGCGCAAAATTCACCCTTCGAAGCCATTCTATAGACACCCCCTAGTTAGACATACTTGCGAGATGATGACAGAGCAAAGGCAGTTTTTTGGTTAGTGTCAGTGGCGGATTGGCGGGATGAATAGAAGACAATAGTAATGTGCGGCAAAAATTAGTATTGGCTATCATCATTATAGCGACCAAAACGCCAAACAATTTCAGATCCTGTCAGTTACTAAGGAGTTTTGCCGCTGAGTTCGGTAGGAAGTATGCAAGTATCCGTCCCGGTTCCTTCGTTACCAAGAAAGGGTGAACGTATGTGGGTACTACTACGGAAACGCGCAGCAATAGAATTAGGCAGTAAATGATCTGAATGACAGGACATGATGAGATATTTGCAGCGTTTTCAAGCCTTTTGGAAATTGTAAAGAAGAGAGCTATGACAAAATTAAAAGAAAATGCAATCAAGGGGATGACACTGATCTGAGCTTCCTTCTTCGGAGTCTCTGGAAGTTGATAATCTAATGAAATCGCGCTTGGCCCGATCATTGTAATCAATGTCATTATTTCCCGAAGTATGAAATATAAAGCTTAAGGCCCTAGCTTTCACGAGTGTTGCATATACTGATCAACACTTGTCTTGTGGGTGGGATCATATATAACGACGTCTAATGTAAGTGTTCCATCATATTTCCCTTCTAGTATCTGGTTGCGAACTTTGCGGGGAAGGATTAACACTCGTTATCCGGTAGAAATATTGATTGGTTGCCAAAAGGTTCTCGCCGCTTCACCAAAATAGCAAGGAGAGAATCTAGTGCCCAGTTTGTAGCTTGACCGCCTTAACCTTTGGGTGTATCTACATCATTCCTGCATATGTAGTATATGCAGAAGTAATGAGTAAATTCGACTTGTTTAAGTGCATCTCGTTGTTGATGTATGTGTCGCAAACGTACTTAGCAATAAGATAGCGGTCAAGAAAGAAATGGTGTTAAACCACAGTGATCCCCGAATCATGTCGAACAGCATCGAATTCTTTTTCGCAAATCATTGTGTGTTCCCCTTAATGTCGGAACCATTATTCGAGATGGGTAGCAACGCTTTCAGTGTCGTCAACCCACCGGCTGCGAAAGGTTGGGAGCAAAATTTTGAAAGCTTTCGAGACCACAAAAATTTTCCACTGGTAGGTAGACAGGGACTGACAAAGACTTATCATGAACTGACTTTGAGCAGTTTCAAAACGAAAGTGGCGAGCTCTGTCAAGATACGACACCACTCTCGGGGAACCGGGAAGGCAATAACAATTCGCCAAAAACGCCAACATGTGCAGTATTGCATCCACGACGGCATCCTTCCAAATCGCATTCCTATTCCATTCCCTTACATCCAGCACATAACGTGACGCAAGGTCATGGTCCAGATTCAACACTTGGGGTCGATTACACCCAGATGGGTATAGATCAGGGTCGAGGAAGTTTTACAGCGTTCCAAAATTGCAGGACTTCGACACCATTTTCAATGGCACACGGATCTTTCTCCGGCAATGCTTCAACCACAGATCGTTTCAACAATGACACCATAGCTCCAAGTGTAGACTATGACGATCTCCACAAGTCCAATACAGACAGACTCGAATCACACGAGTCTCTTGCGTCAGGGTTTGTTACGCACGACGGCATATTGGGTGATTGGTGGTCGACTGAGAATGGCAACCTGATGAATAAAATCAATGATCATCCGAGTGGAATGGTAGCATCGTATGACATTCCGATCTTTCCCGATGGCCTTCCTAGACCACAAAATGAGCATCTAGAGAATTTTGAGGAGAGCTGGAATGATGGGTGGGTAACAGAGAGTGAATGGCCACCAGCCCCTTTTGTTCCGAGTACGATCAAACCCAGAACATTGAACCTTAGTCCATCATTTACTTCCACTGCCTCTACCACCACCAGGGCATCCAGCCAAGCCTCGGCATTTTCACCAGAGTCCACTGCTGTCACAAGTACTTCAGATTATACCCCAAGTCCTGCCCCAGCCGAAGGACAATCCAAAGACCATACCCCCCAATCACGTTCTCGACACATGCTCCCAAGTTCGAGACCAATCAGAAACCACATCCCCGATAGGTTCGATGAATATGAAACGGCCACAAACAGGCCAGTTGAAAATCGGCACCCAAGCGCTAGCACTCCCATTCATGCAATTCAAAATACTCGAAGCCATAGAACAATTAAGAATGACCTTGATATCAAGCATTGCAATGTAATGCTTACGCCCAAAAATGATTTTCTTGATGGTAAATCTTCGTCAACCATCGGGAATACGCCACTACTTACTCGATCTGAACAAAATAACTTTTTGATTCGCTCAAGGCAAGCTGGTATGTCATATAAGGCAATTCGATCCAATGGGAATTTCACCGCTGCGGAATCCACACTCAGGGGCCGATTTCGAACATTAACCAAAGACAAGAAAGATCGAGTAAGACAGCCGAAATGGACAGAAGACGATGTGTGTAGATCCTTTAACTTACCGGGGACAATGAGGCTAACACTTGTTTTTAGATACAGTTATTGAGCAAGGCTGTGAAAAAGCTTGGGCGCAACACAAGTAAGGGTTCAGAGCCACAATGGAAGAAAGTCGCCCAGTACATCTATGATAATGGAGGATCATATCATTTTGGTTACGCCACTTGTCGAAAACGCTGGATTGCGCTTAAGAGTGCAGGTGTTGATAAGAAGGTATGAGATTGTGCCAAGATTTGAAAAGGAAAAATATCGAAGCACAAGATATAATTCATATCGAATAGAATGGTTACCTATGTGGTAAGAGACACAACGCATTCGTGAATCAGCGGGTTTGGAAAACCACTTGACGTCGAACAAAATACCAGCGGATGATCGAGAGTCAGGTGATTGGGCGTCCAAGTAGAAAGGTAATGCTGGGCTGGCTTTGTGTTATGACTATGGTTTAATAAACAGATATCTTAGCCTGTATCAAATCCATTTTATATCTTTCCGTCTAATGGTTTATCGAAAGTACCAGAATTTGTATGTTGAGAATCAACTGTATTATGCAGAGGTACTCCTATCGTCTTAAGAACATTCACAAGTATTCCCTCGTCCTTACGAACGGCATCCCATTCAATCTCACTCTTAACTAGTAGTGTACCCGCTAGAAGAGTGCCATTCAAAGCAACAGATCCGATGATTTTGCCATCAACATTCTTGATCTCAAGCCCCTCCGACGTTCGTGGACATAATACCATGGATTTATTGGTAAGTCCCAAGTTGTAGCTGATGGGCGACTCTTCTTTGTGGTCTTGAGAAGGCATAGTTTTCATCAGCTGACAAGCTTTCTGATGCAATTCTAAGTAGGTTGCATGCAAATCTGACGGTTGAACATTGCTTTTGAAAGACGCGGCGAAGTATGTGAATGGGAGCTCTGCATAAGGTATCAGCCCATATATACAAAAAAGATGCAGAATAATTACCTGGCGCGGGTGTGTCAACGAGACTGTCGATCAATGGAGACCATTCCAACTCTTTCTCTAGTCCTGCTCTCATCGATTCAACTGGAAGGAATTGGATGTGTCTATGGGGCTGCGACGCTCCCGAGTATTCCCCCGAATTGAAGAATCCAAACAATTCTTCTCCTTCCGCATGGTATGACTTTAAACAATTGTATGCCGCCACAAGATCAGCTTCCTCCAACAAGTGTGTCTGTTCTTTGAACTCTTTCGTTGAAAGAATGAAATGATCCGGTATGACAGGAAATTTATTAAGTACGAGGTTGTGCGACCCAAACTCTGTTACAAGCAACGACGGAGACGGTTTCAGAAATGGATTGAATGGCTTTTGAGAGGTATCTTTGGGCTTGTCGGTCTTAGGTTTATGTGCCAACGCTGGAGAATATCGCAATTGAAACTATGACAATCAGTATGTGTTGCTAATGAGGAACAACCATATTGAGCTCTTACCGGCAGCGAATTGCAATGCAAAATGGTCAATTGAGTCTGGAAATAGGTGATATCGCCAGCAGCTTGAGCTGCTTTGAATTTCTCGCGAACTAGAGCAGGTAAGTTTCGCATGATTGTGGATTTAAAGGGTGAAGATGTTGAAGGATGTTGATGACCTAGTGTCCAAAGTTTCCCCAGATAAGATAGGGCTGTGGCACCAGTGGGTGCATGGATTGACGGAACACTTCCCAACTATCGAAATTTATAACAAAGTCATTCTTCGATTATTTGATATCAGAAGTTATGGTTGAATTGTAACAATTCCTTAAATATATATACGAGTTGATATATCAAGAGATATCCACAAGTCCTTTTTGTATTGTCCCGTCAGTTCGGTCAACCACTGGTGCGGCGATAAGAATAATCCCCGATGACAGTGATGGGTATCACCGTCATCGATGTGTGCAAAATATCAATGCTCTTAAAATTTAAACGTTGAAAATTTATCTTACCCATGATTATTGCACACTCTGGTATCAAGTCGCACTAGACGGCAATACCTTTTGCCTCAGATGTAGCGATGCAGCAGCGACGTCAAGATGGCGAACAATGATCTTATATCACTGTGGCAGATTCACAACGCCTCACTTGACTAGCCAATGTGTCAAACAAGATGATAAAACTGTATAGTCATAGATATGGAGATGATGTTATCAATCCTGTTGGTGTTCTCACTCGTCTTGGAGATAGTACCTAGTCTTGGTTCCATGAAGAGGGCTACTAAGATCTAGTTGATCTCCTAGAACCCAGATACGCTCATGTTTTTTATTCGATCATCATCACAGTGTTCTCAGTATACTTGGCACTCCGTCCAAAAGAAAGTTCTTGCGGTTCTTGCTACTTAATCCAACATTTGGCAAAAACTTTGCCGCACAGCAGAGTCAATACAACAGCCCTAATTCCCAACATCACGGCCTTCCCACGCGATACAAAGAACACATGATGGTTGTTTCTCTGCTGTCAATTTTGAGATGTCTTCAATATGGACTTGGAGGCCCTAGGTGTCGCGAATAGCCTGCAGGTTATAAAGGTCTTGATGCACGTTTATTTTAGTTCGGCTTCACCAACTTTTCGGAAATGAAGGGGCATCTCGACTTCTGCTGCCGCAGTGTGGCATATAATCCATACGTTTGTGTTTCTATTTATAGTGCTGAAGTCAAACAATCACAGCGGCATTTGAATTTCTATTCTAGATATTATAATAACAACAAGATTGCTAGATTGCTGAATAGCGAATATCTATATCACAACACTAGAAAGTACTATCCAAGAATAGTTTTAGATGTCAACTGTAAGCTAAACTCACCGCCTCAAACTTTCTCCTTTTATTCAAGGATTTAAATGAGTGTTTCTATGCTATTATTGGCAAGAACACTTGAGTAAAGTCACAAGCGATACATGAATCACCTCAACCTGGCTTTACAGTCACAATGGGGAGCACTCTCTTGATGTACACGTTTCAAAGAATTGCAATTAGAAGCTCAAGTAAATCCACCAATACGTACAGATCTTCAATCAACGGTGCAGCTCCGGCTTTCTACTTGATTTTTATTTCTACCACCTTCTTGACCTTCTCGGGAGCACTCGCTCTTCATCTACCGCTAGATTCGACTTTTGACTCGACAATTACTGCACTAACCGCCTAGCAGCGCTACTTGTCTTCTCTTCTACGAGCTATGAGGTCAATATCGAGAAGCATGCCATTATTCGAATTACAATGCCTCGATAAACAACATCAACCCATAATCAGTGAAACCCAACTCAATGCTGACCCGTTTTGCAGGAGTGAGTCTGTTATGCCATTTTTAACAACATACATGTTTTTGATACAATAATTTGAGACTTCGAATCCATTTTTGCCTCTACTGACTAATCTCGAACTGATATCCGTTTCGTGCTTTTCAATTCTAAGAATACCCAGAGGTCATCTCGCTCCAAATAGACTCTGCGTTTTGTTTTACAGTCACTTCTCTCTACGAGAAGGAATACCAGGTATGCTAGCTTGCTCCGGCATGCCATATTTATTTTTGAATTCCTCCCATGCCAAATATCGCTCTTACATACTTGGATAATTCCGTATTGAACTTTGCCGCGACCTTGTCTGTGCTGCCAAAAGTGGCTGACGAGGATTCCCGGCCAGATCAAATGACCGTGGCTGCCACTGCACCAGATTATGAATTTAGAAACGAATTTCAAGTGAGTTCCAATTGCATATATATACTTGAGATAGTCCTAGAACACGAATTCAAACAAAAACAAAAACAATTATACAGACCCTGAGACTCATCCTTCAGATCTGATCCGCATATCCCACCAAATTCGTTTGCTCGACTTGACTCCATCGAATCCATCTACTCGCTATCACTAACTACTCTTTTATCAACATCCACCAAAACGCAAACACCATCCTTACGCAATGTATAAACTTCTTCCGCTTTCATCGTTGATTGTTCTCGCGATGTCTCCCGGGTCATTTGCTTTCAATTTCAATCGAGATGGAACCATACTCTCATCAATCACAACGATCCCCACAGGAAGAGCAGTCTTCCAACAGAATCTTGCCATCATGGAAGCGGTCGCTGGTACCTTGACTTGTGTTAAGAATGATGATAAAGTTGCAACTAGCAATGATCTCATATATGTATGCGGTAGCTTAGATTGCTCCGTAGATGAGAGTGGCAAATTTGTCGTTTCGCTTAATTGTGAGGAGGGTGAGGCAGGAAACTTTTCTTGTGTATCTGGATATCATTCCTCTGGTGTCTATAGCTCCCCTGAAAAGAAGAAACGTGATGGAATTCCAAAGACCACCAACCAAAACGCGACCAGCCAAGCATCTTTCAAAACACGTCGAGGTTTTAGCTTCATTGGGGGACTCTGCGAATTCTTCACTGGTGGCAGTGATAAATGCGATAAATTCTTTGAATAACGCGACTTGAGCTTTGCAACCGGTTCTAGTCAGTACACAGACCAGTGATCTTCTACGCACTCATATACGCAATTTGCAACTGGTCGCAACCATGATCCAAATAATCGCCTTACAACTGTAACGGGCCGCAAGCTTTGTGGTCATTTTGGCTTCTGTCAGGATGAAGATTCCAACCTTACATTAGCTTGGGCCGATAAAATGGAAGCGATGACCATCGCAGATTTTGTTTAGATGAGCACTTCTTTATTTGAGTATTGACGATGGGTCTGGAAAGGCTTTTGTCATAGCACTGCAAACTTTGCAATACGGCCAGGGCCTGGATTTCTGTCTCTTCTTTCTTGTTTACCGGCGTTTCTCTTGTTCTGATCTCGTTCCGGCCCTGAAGGCTCTTTGTATGTCTTTCTCCGCTCCTTTCCCAGACTTCAGTCATGTGTATCAGAGAATTTACTACTGGGTTCCATCAGATGATGCTATCCAAAGTAGCTGTTTATCATGTTTATATCAATCGTTTCTAGTTTTTGTAATTTCCAACGTTGTTTTCATGTCCTAAGCACATATGTCGATGTTTCTGGTGATTATTCCGAAGCTAAGAGACGCCCAAGCGAAAAAGTTCATCGTAAAATATCATCGTTTCCTCAGTATTCAATGGTAACCGAACCTCGGACTGAAGATTGTTAATATTGCTGCCCCACCATGCCTGTGTCTGGGGTTGTCGGTAATCTTTCAGCTCGCTCCTAATCGACACTAAGGATCTAGATTGCTGCAGTCATTGACGAATCGGGGATAAATAACCATATCTCAGCCAATAACCAGGTAACAATCATTAAAGTTTTTTTATGATGCAGATCTTTATTCAGATATACACTTGATATAGAATCAGCACAAAAAACTGAAATTGTATATAAGCAGCGCGAGGTAGCTATCAAACACTTCCTTTCTGATCACTGACATTATTCACATCGGACAAGATGAATTTGTCATTCTCGTTCGTGTTCTTTTTATCCATCTTTCATGATGTGGCATGTTACCCAGTCTTCTCCGGGAAGGTTCTCGAAAGATCAGCAGATCTCCTACCAATTTATGATTATGTGATAGTAGGAGGTGGAACAAGTGGACTCGTCGTTGCAAATCGTTTGTCCAAAAATGCTAGTAAGTCCAGTACCTCAAAAACAAACTCGTCATTTCACTCTTGTTAACATTGATCAAGATACAACCGTTCTCGTGATCGAGGCAGGAAATTTGTACGACCTCAAATTCTCATGACTTTTTACCCATACTCACATTTTATCAGTCACAACAATGAAGATTTCATAACAGTCCCTCTGATAACCACCGCCAATCTCCCCGTACTTGGTAATGGTCCTCGTGGCACAATCTATGATTGGAACACAACCTCAGTTCCACAATCGAACCTCGGAAATCGATCGATTGATCTTCCGGCTGGGAAAGTAATTGGTGGCTCTTCTGCCATAAATGGTATGGCATTCATGCGCGGTAATGCAGCTGAATATGATCATTGGGAAGAACTTGGAAATGCTGGATGGAATTGGGAGGGTCTACTTCCATATTTCAAGGAAAGCGAACATTTTACTCCTGCCGACGAAGAGGAAGTGCAGGACTGGGGCATTGAATACGACGCAAACGTCCACGGGGAAAATGGGTTTGTCCAGAATGGATATCCGAGTTTCGTTTGGCCTAGTACTAGTAAGTCTCTCCTTGTACAATACATCTTACCAATTTTTGCCCCATTCAAAGAATACAGACTAAAACCGCCCAGAAAACTTCTTAAACGCCTTCTTTGAACTTGGCGTCTCATATATAAAAGACTCTTTCGCAGGCCTCAATGCCGGCGTGTTCTTCATCGTTCTTTCTATTACCCACGATACCAAAGAACGCAGTACATCTCAATCTTTTTTGCCTCCAAGCTCTAATTTGACTGTTCGTCCTAACTTGCATGTATTGACCGCTAATACTGTTACCAAAATTCTCTTCTCTACTCCTTCCAATTATTCATCTGAAACATCAAAAGAACCAAGAGCCACGGGAGTAGAATATGCAGCTGGTGTGAATGAAGAGAAATTTACGGTAAATGCTAAGAAAGAGGTGATTCTAAGTGCCGGAGCACAGCGAACCCCGCAACTATTACAGATTTCTGGCATAGGACGACGTGATGTGTTGGAAAATTTAGGCATTGAGGTCGTGGTCGAGAGTGAAGGTGTTGGCGAGAATTACCAAGATCACTTATTGCTTACTACTGTCAACAATGGTAAGTTGTTTTATTTTGTGTCAATTTATAACTTGATTTTGAATTGCTTTACTGATTTGACTCAATTTAAAGCTCCGAATATCGCGATTCAGACTGGGAATCTCAGTACGAACGCTACGTGGCTTGAAGAGCAGCTTGAATTGTATCACAAGAAAAGGGAAGGTGAGATAGCATTTCCATGACTATTCGAGGTATATAGCCACACTAACAAATGATCAGGGCCTTTCACAACCGCCTCAGCAAACGTCTTTGCTTTCCTCCCTCTCGCCACAATTCTAAATGGTTCTTCCGCCTCCACCCTCTCTACCCTCCAATCTCTTTCCCAATCCACAGATGTGTCCCAGTACCTCCTCCCATCTACCCCCTCTTCCGTTCTTGCCGGCTACAAAGTCCAACACCAAATTCTCGCATCCAATCTGCTCTCCAAAAACACCTCTCACGTGGAGATGATCGTTAGCGATGGCATCATCATCCCCGCCATGCAGCTCCCCTTCTCTCGTGGCCGCGTTTCCATTTCCTCACCCTCTGCTTTTGATTTCCCTCTCCTAAATCCAAATTATCTTTCCAACCCATTAGATTTGCTTCAATTCACCGTCGCATTCAATTACACGCGTCTCATGCGTACTACTTCCTCTCTCCAAGCAATCAATCTCACAGAATCATATCCAGGTTCGAGTGTAACGACCCAAGCAGAGATTGAGGAACATGTGAGGGAATCGGTAGCGAGTGAACATCATCATTCGGGTACAGCATCGATGTTGCCGAGAGAATTGGGTGGTGTGGTGGATGAGGGATTGAGAGTTTATGGGGTGAAGGGGTTGAGAGTAGTGGATGCTAGTGTGATTCCGATGATTGTTGGAGCGCACTTGCAGGGGACTGTGTATGGAGTTGCGGAAAAGGGTGCAGCGAAGATCTTGGAGGATGCATAGGGTTGTTAATACTTCTGTTTCGGGCATGGTCTTGAATTTTATGTATCCGTCAAGTATGTGAGGTTCGACACGGCATTAGGTCAGATTTCAAAACAGCAAAATATTGGATTCACTCCAACTGAGACCCACAATGGAGCATCCATTCCTTGTATATATCTTGCTGTTGATTGAAACATCGTCCCCCAAGTCTTACAACATTGAATAAACTGCTCGTACAAGGTGATTCCGCCATCGTCTTCTTTCAGGGCCACACAAGATAATTCATGTGCAACTCGTAACAGATAGCCTTCGATGTACAAAAGTACTGAGTGTAAGAAGTCAAGAATGCCGTCTCGTTAATGCCAAACAAAACATAAACAGCAAAAATAGGCAGTGACAACATTTACACCCAACCGACAACCCCTCGTCAAGAAAAGTCCTTGTCGCACGATTTTTTTTTGCTCGCTGGGATCACAATGCATATTAGGGACAGAGAATGAGAATAAGTCGGCGCCCATTTAAATCATTAATCTCAATCTTCGCTGAGTTCTTAGTCTAGAAAAGTTGCCAGAAAGTTCTTCCTTAAATAACGAACTCGCTTCTCCATTTCTGGTATTCACTCATTCTGTGATATAGATTTTTCTAGCATCCCACTGATGAAGTCTCCCATTCCCTTCTTACGTATTATTGGTGAATGACCTTCAGAGAAATCCACTAGTCATCACTGCGTACCATATGATTCTCGCACAACCGAGCCATGCTTTTCGTACTTGCTTATTTAAGGAAGTCTTAGACTACTTCCTAATATCCCCAATGCCCGGCGAAACTAAACAAAGACTACAAGTCTAGGAGATTGTGTTCATCTCTCTTGAATAGTTTACCAATTTCGATTCAGTGCAAATTGGGGGCTTGGAACAATACAAGGGAAATTTTCAAGTGGCATATAATAACAACTCCTGACAACAAGAATGAATGATTAGACAGCAGAAATGAACCGATCGCACAAACGACTCAGCGCTAGAGTCTCTGAAGGCCACTATCTTGCGCCAGACTTAGATAGAATTGTGGTATGTGATAAGAAGAGCCCATGAGTATTCCGAAGGTGAGATTCTCTTATGCCCAAGTATTATATGATATCTTAAGAGGCTTTGGATACTTAAATATCTCATCGACTATGATACAGACTCCTCTCATAGTGACTCATATTTCCAAGTTTAATGTACTCACATAGGAGTGAACAGTCCTAGGAGCTGTCAATCCACCTCATAGAATGTATCTAGGTAGGTAGTTAGGCACGATCAGCCATCTAGACCAAAGTATCTGAGTATATAAATGCTGCATTCAGATGGTTCTTCCTTTTCAGAAACGACCATGATGGACAGCAACATCCGAGATCGAAGGATATCTCGGAAATTCTGAAAAAGAGTGCGCTTTGAAGTCCACCAACTCCCAAATATCCAGTTAGGACTTTAGGATTCGGTGGACTTGATGAACAAAAGAACAGTATACCAAGCAAAACAATGAAAATGCCCAGCGACAACAAAAAGAACTACTCGAATAATGATCAAAAGAATTCTTTTAATATTCGAAGTCCACCAATACCCGGGATTAAGGACCTTTAGGTTCGCTCCGGAAAAATACAGATAAACGGGGTGCTCAAATGTTGAAGCATGAAGCCTATTGTACACGTGACGATTGTTCTGTGACCTCTACTAAATCTTCAAGTCAAAGGTTTTAAATAACAAATCCATTGTCTCACAGTTTTCTTGTTGCGATCTCAGATCCACTCCGAACTTCGAATGCACTCATTGCGGTACATGATCCACTCTCCTGACTTGTACCCCGCTATACCTACAAACTTCATATCTAACCCCTCTGATCTCAAGCTGTAGTTACATAGGCAGAGCTATGTGCGGGCCTATATAAATATCTTCTATCCCTTAATGTGATCTCCAAAGCTACCGCTAAGAGCTTTCAATATAACAAGGCTCTATCTCATCAAAAAGATTGGAGCAATTTTCTTTGCAATTCCGAGAATTACCCACCCGCATCCCTTCTAATTACCAATCCATATCCCAAGTATAAACTAAATATCATCCACAACAAGGAACGACGAGGATGGCAGCAACACACAAGTTTCGACAGTGAAAATAATCACTAGAATTCAGATAATAGAATTTCATAGCCATATCATTCTGATAAGATCAAGAAGTTTTCTATGACAAACTTGAATGATGTGCTAACATTTCAAATTTGTACCCTGTGGCTTCATTTTTCATTGTTCTGAAAGTGTTATAGACCGAGTAGAGACTGATAGAGGGTGTAGTTTATATACCACTCCACCCAACTTCTGTAGATCCAACACCTTTCGATGTTCCATCAAGATATTCACTCTTCCTGGCCTGTGATTGCAAATCCCAGTGGACACGTACTCCAGAAAGAAGACGTGAGAAAGCGTCCATCATCTTAAGCAATTCCTCAAACATCCCACAATTTCCCTCAATATATAAATACAGCTTCTCCAGCCCTCAAAATTCAACCAGCAAATCTTACTATTCTCTCGGGAAACTAGAAGGGTGTCTGTTTCCTTTCAAGAATGGGATGGTGTGATACAATATAACTGGAGACACATAGATAGCATATGAATATTAAGCACAACTACAATATAGAGCATAAGATGTCGCCTAACTCAAAATGACATCGAGGAGCACCACAAAGACAGCGGAAGAGGTAATCGACGACACTGAAATATCCTTGCTAGCAATGGGATGTGATCCAAAATCGATACGCGAAAATGGCAAGAAAGGGGAGATTCAATTACTCGGTACCGCTACCGCTGCCCGGGTGTACCTTAATAACGAGAATCAGAGAATGTGTGGCTTTCTTTGGATACACTTTCGGAGTATGATTCGAAGCGAATGGTTTGCATTTTTGAATGCAGTCTTTGGTGATGTAGAAATCATGAGAATCACCATAAAGCCATGCGTTTTCGCATGGCTTCACAAATGTTCGTGGGGTTATAGAGTGGTATAATCTCGAGGGAAATTTCATAAAAAATCGAACACTGTCCAGGAAAATTCATTGAGCATGTTTTTCCAGCCATAGCATTTCTGAGTAGAATTTATGACCTCTTCTCCCCAAAGAGATATCGAAAACTTCGATCATGATCGTATTTCATTTCACTTCTTTGACCACAGATGGTAGGCGACGCGATTTATAACTCAAGCACTCATCCCACCAGCTCCGTGATAAACTGCTCCTGTAACATAGGAACTTTCCTCACTCAACAAGAAGGCAATGATTGAAGCCATTTCCTCTGCAGTACCGAGTCTTCTCAAGACAATAGAATCATACTCCCCCTCCTTTACATGAGTCTCTCGAGCGTGCCCCATCATTGGTGTATCAATTGGACCAGGAGCTAAAGCATTTACTCGTACATTTCTATCACCGACTTCTATTGCGGCAGTACGGGTAAGCCCAATAACTCCATGTTTGCTAGCGACATAGGGTCCTATTTTCGCAAATCCTGCATTGAAGCACTTTGTATAAGCTCAAAATCAAACATCTTGATGTGATGAGAATGACTAACCGTGCGTTCCAGCAATGGAAGATACATTGACAATACTTCCACCATTTTCAATTTTTGATAGCTCAGCTCTCAGAGAGTACATCATGCCGGTTAAATTAACCGCAATGATTTTGTCCCATTCCTCGTCTTCTAGATCTTGGATCTTCATCACACCATGATGTTTACCAATAACCCCCGCACAATTGGCAGCACCATCCAGTTTCCCAAATTCACTCACAATCTCGTCAATCCAGCTTTCAACTGATTTACGATTTGACACATCGACTATCGAGCCCTTGACTTGTGTGACAAAACCACCCTCCATGACAGTTTCGAGAGATTCATTGGATATATCGCCAATGCAGACGATGGCACCACGTGAACTGAGAAGCTTGGCTGTAGCAAGACCAATCCCTGATGCACCTCCCGTGATGGCGATTACCTTGCCTTTCATCGTCATGATGGTGGTGTTGAGCTATTAGTTTTCTCGGTGATGGTGTTTGCAAACAGGCTGGATATTGATAAAATGGATGGTGGGAACGAGGAAGGTACATATGAGAACCAAAAAAGTAAGAATACCAGATAAGGGGTTGTCGCGATAGGGGGATGTAACCTCAAGTAATGGTGAGCACTAACCTATTCATGGCTGTTCAAACTGCCAGCTGAAATGAGTCAAAGAGAATTATCACGAGATTGGCATTTGCTTCGATTGGTACCTCGCCGAAAATGAGTGGGTAGGCTGGTAGGTAGCTAAGGAAAGAATTGATTCAGATGATCTTCCTGTACTCCAAGTTGGATGTTATTCGTACCCATCTAGGTAGTCTTTGATTCATGTGTTAGACAAGATGCAGCAACGTATTTAATAGTCGGCTCTTCCAAGCGGCCGAATAGTCCCTGACTATCAATTCATCCTCTTGGTTTTGAAGGTTGTCGTCTGAACCTATTCTAAGACACATTGGCGGTGTTGATGGTGTTGGTTGTGGTTGAAGGTAGCTCAAATGCTCCATAATCCGTGGATCTCTTGATAAGCATAACTTTGTGGATAATCTTCATAAAACAACGTGGAGTTATGCAAACAACGCTAGCCCCCGCATTTCCCGTCTCATGACAACATACTACTCCGTACTTCGTAGAACAGGGGAAAAGGTTAAACTAAGATGGAGCCGGTTGTTTCGTACCTTGAATGGTGTACCAAGGCTCCTTCCTACCTCCCTATGCAAAAGAGTAAGTTTGGTCTCATGATTGTCTTTCCATAAGAACAAAGCTCAGTAAGCAAGGCTTTCTCATCCTTTTTCATCATCAACTATTTACTATTCTTCATCATATGGAGTCGAAATAGTTTGCGAATGTTTATATATCATTTGAACTCTTCAATCCTTCTTGTCTCTTTTGAATCGGTTCTTTTGATGGTACTTTGATGAATACGAGTACATACATATATGCACGCAACATAACATATCAACCATGCGTTGGACAAATTACCTTCAGGCTGCATCTGCAATAGCAGCGACGGTCGCACAAGCTTCTACATTGACCCCGCCAGTGATACCATTGATTGTTCGAAATCCATATTTGAGTGCTTGGTTAGGACACGCAAGAGAGAATCCATGGGAACATTGGCCTATATTCTGGACAGGTCAAGAGGTATGGAATTAAAGAATATCTTTCCGCCCTTCCAGTCCGGTCACTAAAGCTTCTATTTTATATAGATTGGATTCTCTGTACTTGCCTCAGTACCAGGCGCCGATACTGTTTATCCATTATTGGGTAGACCTCACGATTCATTAAGTAAATCCGGAGATAGGTAAGTTTTAGAGCTATTGACAGTCATTGTTGAATTGCAAACAGCAACTAATTCATTCATAGCTTCAATGTATCATACCCTACATTCCTAGGTGCTACTTTTGATGCTTCGACTACAAACCTTACATACAATATTCCGTCGCCTTCTAAATCCCAAGAACCACTCGAAGTCGTTTTATCCTTCCTATCCCCAATTACACCAACCTCTACTTTCCGACAATCAATACCTGCGGCATACTTAACTGTGCATGTCACCGGAGATTTTGATCTCGATGTATACTTGGATATAAATGGATTATGGGTTAGTGGTAACAGGGCCAATGCCATTGATTGGTCATTCAGTCAGAGTGAACCGGAAAAGGATAGCAAAGATCCACCACTAAAGATATGGAAGGCTAAGAGAGTGGTTGAGCAATTGTTTACTGAATGGGGTGACCGTTCAGAATGGGGACAATTACACTTCATAGGCCCAGCTGAAGCCAACCATCAAGCTGGTACATCTGGTATACTACGAACCAATTTTTCACGAAGCGGGAAATTACAAAATACTGTTGACACCAACTTTCGAGGAATTATGGATGAGGAACCAGTTTTCGCATTTGCCTATTCATTCAAGCTCAATTCTACTTCCAATTCCACTTCTGCTGAAAGTGGGAAAACCTACGCCAGTGCTCTTTTTACCATTGCACATGTCCAAAATCCTGTCATTCAATTTGCTTCCGCTCGAGGCTTGACAGCTATGCGTCCATTGTGGGCTTCTTACTATCCGGAAGCCGATGACCTGCTTGAATACCATTATAACGACTTTCAAACAGCCTTTAATCTCGCAAGCAACTATTCGGATCAACTTGCAATTGATGCTTTACAATCTGGATCTGAAGATTACAAGGACATCCTCGCGCTCAGTGCACGTCAAGTATTGGGTGCTGCATCTTTTGCTGGTACTCCTGATGATCCTGTTATTTTCTTCAAGGAAATCTCATCTGATGGAAACATGAACACTATTGATGTCATTTACCCCGCTTTCCCATTCTTCTTATACACCAATCCTAGATGGTTGGCGTATATGCTGGAGCCTTTGATCGAACACATGCTTAGTGGTCAATATCCTAATGATTACGCCATGCATGATCTTGGTTCGTCATTCCCTAATGCAACAGGACATCCAGACGGTAGAGATGAATACATGCCCGTTGAAGAATGTGGTAATATGCTCATCATGGGTTTGGCATTGGTCAACTCACTTAAATATGATACTAAGCCAGCAAGTATCTGGTCCGATCAAGGTGATCACAAAACCACCCAATTCATTGAAAGTGCTTTCCCACTTTTTGTCGATGCGGATGGTATCGATGATAGTGTTGGGGGTCCCATCGAGGCCAAGGGTGAAAAGCAAGCAAGAAAATGGGTCAAGAAATCATATAAATTATGGAAACAATGGACTGGTTATTTGGTCAGGGAAACTCTTATCCCTAGTAATCAATTGTCGACCGATGACTTTGCGGGGTGGTTAGCCAACCAAACAAACCTTGCATTGAAAGGTATCATAGGAATCAAGGCTATGAGCGAGATTGCTGAAGTTGTTGGTGAAACCGAAGATGCTGTTTTCTACCGCAATATTTCCGAAACCTACATCAAACGATGGGAGGATGAATTTGCCTTTTCCAGAGATGGAACTCATGCTAAATTGGCATATTCTTGGTACGGATCATGGACCATTCTATACAATCTGTTTGCAGATTCATTACTCTGTTTCCACATCCCATCAAGCTCTTCATCTACTCCAAGTATCGGGAACGATCAAAAACCTATTACTCTTCCCGATCAACAAACTTCAAAGACCGGATTTGTAAGTGACAAGGTTTACAAACTACAGAGTGATTGGTACCACTCAGTTCGACAGAAGTACGGTTTACCTCTTGATAGTCGTCATCTTTATACCAAAAGTGATTGGGAATTTTTTGCAGTTTCAGTTGCTAGTAAGAAGGTTCGCGAAGAAATTGTCGACTCAATTGCACTATGGGTCAACGAGACTACAACAGGTATGTAATTCTGTGCTGGCAAGCAAATAATATCCAAACCTAACATTATCACAGATAAACCACTTACAGATTTGTATGACACTGAGGGAACTGGTGGGTTCCCAGGTATCGAGTTTAAAGCTAGACCAGTCGTTGGAGGACATTTTGCTTTCTTAGCATTAGAAAGAGCATGTGATGGGAAGGCTGTTGCTGCATTAGACTTCTTAAATGAAGACGAGAAGTTAGACGTATCTGAAGAAGAGATGATGCATAACGAAGAATTGTAGATTATAGCGGTATTATTGGTAGTCAGGGCTCTAGATATCTTTAACATATGAGTTTGGTTGAAACTAGGGAAAAGAAAGCAGTGCAGGCAAATGCATTTCCTTACAACTACAAGTTTCATTGGGAGGTTTAGGTTTACCAATAGAACCCATACGAATCCCATTGATGTATATTGCAATTGGATACACTATCATTGATTCGCGTTCTTTGATTTCTCAGCTATTCAGCTTTACGTGCAGTACCCTGACCTGACCTGGTTGGTGGCTATGATGATTCTAGGAAGGATTGCCAATTGTGCTCGAGTAAAGATTGATATGATTGACATACTAGGTACGTACACAGATATGACATCAAACACTAGGTACAGTAAAACTTAAAATCATCCGTATAATTCATTCGATATACTTCCTCCACTCCTACGCATAAAGACCTAGACCTACCAGTAATACTTCGTTTTATCAGTAATACTTTATTTTGTCAAACAAAGGAAATCACCTCTTGTTGCTTGTAAAACCGTACCTGATCATGATTGATGATTGATACATTAGCTGCCAGGTATTTATAAAACCTGACCTGATACCTGATACCTCAAATTATTTGTTTTCAGCTTCACCGCGTTATTTAGCTTAGCCGCTGTCGGTTAGTGTTAGCGCTAGGCCCAATTTTAAATTCGCGACAACTTCTTTTACTTGACGATCTGACCTTAACGTGCCTCTTCCTTTCAACAACAACTTTCTTCCCATCTTGTTTCTTTATTAATCCATTACCCCCCCCATCAGCAGTATCAAATATTTGCATTCCTGCAATCTCATTTGATATTATTCTTTCCCTACCTCACAGATCTTGAGCGTTTACAGAGCTCGAAAATTCGTTTGCGACAGCTCCAGCTTTCAAATCAGCAAAACAAATCAACCCTTTTTTTAACCCATTTCGTGTTTTCGTCTTACAATAACACATCATCATCATCATGACTTCCACTATGGATTATGAGAACGAGAACGGCACTCGTTACGAAGGTATTTATTTTCACTCTTTCGCATGTTTTGAAGCTTTTCTTGATAATTTTGTAATCGTGTACTAATTTATCTTCTTCACTTTTAGATGAGGCTCCTCGATACGAGCGTGATCGCAGCGCATCTCCTCGTCCAACCCGTCGCAATGACAGCCCACGTGGAGGACCTCGCCGCTCTGCTTCCCCAGACAGAAACGGTCGTGCCGATGAGCGGTTAGTTCATTTAATCACGAATCACAAAATAGCACATTCTGACAAACAATCACAGCAGCGGACCTAAGAATGATCGCGGACCAGGACCACAAGATGATGGTGCTGTTAACCCAGGTTCTAACCTTT